GAAACAGAATTTTATGACTTTTGACTAAAACATTGCTGATTTTCTTCTAGGCTTTGTTGTCTGGTTTTAAGGATTTGTGTACTGTCTTGAGATGTTGATAGATTCATGGACCTACTATTTGAACAGAATCCTAACCTTTTTCCTGGCTTTAAGTTTTAAGCAAAGTTCCTTAGGATTTCTTTGATCTAAGTTAAAATTACTTTTCTTGAAATTACCAGCTGAACTTGCTATGGAAAGTAATTAGAGTATTTAAGAAATTGTGTGATCAGGGGACCAGCAGTTAGCGTAATGGCTATGTCGCTGGACTCCCACATAGTCGACCGTGGTTCGTGTCCCAGTCCCGGTGGCTTAAACTCACACCAGGCGCGTGTGCGTGCGTGCCCAAGATCCCGAGAGGAGAATGGAGGAGAAGGGATTGTGGCATGGCCATCCCCCCTGGGGGGTGATTGCTTTCTGTCTCTATGTCTCTCTGTCTGTCTGGCGAGCACACACACCCTATAGCAAAAACCTCTCCAAAACAAAGAAAAAAAAAGAAATTGTGTGATCAGTACAATATGGGAGAAAAAGGAATGAAAGACAACTTTAGACACCAGAGATAGTGTGAGAAGAGGGTGGGAAAGGACAGAGGGTCAGAAATAGTGCTACTTTATAGTATGTTCATTCTACTCACTCAGGTTTATGCCTAAAATCAGACTTGTGTTCATAGATATGTATATATCAGGTGTGCTTGCTATTCAAAATATTTAGATTAATTAAAATCTTTAGTGAATCAATAAAACGTGGGGAAAAAGGCATCGAAAGCAACCAGATATACTAGAGTCAGTGTGGGAGGAGGGTGGGAGATGGCAGAGGGTGATAGATAGGGAATCAAGGATGGGAAAATAAGCAAAATATACAGGAAACTAGAAATGGAAAATTATTTGTGGACAATAACACGTATGTTGATGTGCTTGATTGAGCCAATACACAGTGTATTCTGAATGGAAGATCTCATTTTGTATGCTGTAATGATGTATAGTAAATGAATGTAAATAAATAAATTTAAATAAAAAAAGAAATCATATTGACAGTGGGGAGCCAGATAGTGGTGCAGTGATAAAATGCAATGCTCTGTGGGGCTGTCTAAAAAGGAAGGTTCCCAGTTCATGTCCTGAGCACACACACATGTATGCCCATAATCTGGGATAGATCATAGCATCTAGAGCTTGTTGGGGGGTGGGAATGTTCTCTCTCACTCTTTCTATTATTTGTGAGATAAATACACTTTTCTTTAAGAGAGATTTTTGCTATAGGGCATGTGTGCTCACCTGAGAGACAGAGAAACAGAAAGAAAGTAATCATCCCCTGTGAGGATGGCCATGATGCAATCCCTTTTCCTCTATTCTCCTCTCAGAATTTTAGCCCCACATGCACATGTGTCCAGCTTGAACTTAAGCTGCTGGATGTGGGTCTCAAACCACAGTGGACTATGTGGGAGTCCGTGCGCTCGCCAGACAGACAGAGAGAGAGACATAGAGACAGAAAGAGAGAAATCACCCCCCGGGGGGATGGTCACGCCGCAATCCCTTCTCCTCCATTCTCCTCTCAGGATCTTGGGCATGCATGCACACGTGCCCGGCGTGAGTTTTAAGCCACCGGATCTGGGACGTGAACCGCAGTCGACTACGTGGGAATCCAGCGACATAGCCATTACGCTAACTGCTGGTACCCCCAATAAAATTTTTTTAAGAAAGAGAGTAGAGGGGATGTTTACTGAACTTGAGCTATGAAATATTGCTTTCAGGGACTAAAAATGAAGATTTTCTACTGAGACTCATTCTCCAGATTCATTTTTAGAGTGGAGAGGCACAAACCCAGACCCTTCTGCAATGGCTACTGAACTTGAGCTGTGAAATATTGCTTTCAGGGACCAAAAAATGAAGATTTTCTGCTGAGACTCATCCTCAAGATTCATTTCTTGAGTGGTAGGACACAACCTCTGTATCCTCCTCTCCACCTTTCTCTGTCTCTCTCTGAATCTCCTAATATTTTGCTTTCTAAAATTAAAATAGAAAACTTTTTAAATTGTCTTTCTTTCTTTTTTCTTTTTTTCCTTTCCTGTTCTGTTTTCTTTTCTTTTCTTTTCTTTTTTTTTTTTAACCTTTATCCTTTGGCTGCTCAGCCTCCATGCACTGGGTGTCTAGACAGATCTAAGTGAACAGTCTTCAAACATCTGAATACTCTTAGGGTCAAAGTGCTTCAATTCCGACTGAATTTGATGCACAAAGGGTGAAAATGGAATGGAAGAAGATTGCAGATCACCTCCTCCTGCATGCCTCTGAACGCTCAGATTGAACTTCAAGAATTTGGAAGAAACGCACAACCCATCAAATGACCAGAAATCACTACAAGAGCACAAGAAATATGAGAAAGCAAGAAAATACCACTCCTCCTAGGGAAAAGAATAACTTCTCTTCATCCACAGCCAGTACAATGGAACTCGTGGAAATGTCAGATAAAGAATTTAGAATATTCACAGTGAGAAAGCTAACAGAGATGCAAGAGAAGAGAGACAATGAACTCCAGAAGACACAGGAGAAAGGAGATGATGATTTCCAGGAGGAAAGTTCTTGCACGATTTGAAAGAGGAAATACACACCATAAAAAAGAATCAAATGAAACTATTAGACATGAAGGCTATAATACAGGATATCAAAACCTCCCTTGAAAATAGTAAAAGTAGACTAGATCTTACAGAAGATCGAATCTCAGATGTAGAAGACGGAATCACTAGCCTTCAAAAATCCACCATGAAGTCTGAAAAAATAGTCCAAAAAATGAGAATAATATATGAGAAATACTGGATACATTAAACATCCACACACACAGATAATCGGTATCCTAGAAGATGAAAAGACTAATAAGGCCATTGATAATCTATTCCATGAAATCCTGGAAGAAAACTTTCCAGACCTAGAGAGGCATTCAAAGTCCCAAGAAATACAAAGGACCCCACATAGAATCAACCCAAGATCTTTTCCAAGACACATTATAGCCAGATTGACCAAAACCACACACAAAGACAAGGTACTAAGACTGGCAAGGGAGAAACATCAAGTTACCTATAAAGAATATCCCTAAGAGCAGACCTCTCATTGGAAACAATGCAGGCAAGGAAAGAATGGGAAAATATATTCAAAGTGTTAAGGGAAAAACAATTTCAACCAAGAATATTGTACCTGGCGAGATTATCCTTCATATGGGAAGAAAAGACAACATTTTCAGATAAACAAAATCTGAAAGAATTTACTAACATCAGACCAGCTCTCCAAGAAATTCTGAAGGGAGTGCTATACCAGGAAAACTAGATACAGACACACAGAAATAAGAGTTAAAAAATAACTAAGAGAATGGCCAACTTAATGGTAGGGACAAGTCTGGAGTTGAATGTTATCTTCCAGAATTTAAATGGGAAGATTGGACTATATCAGAAGATAGATTAAGTATACGAGACTGAACTGGTGAAATAGACTCTCTTGACTTTTGACTAAAAGTTACTAATTTTATTGTATGCTTTGTTTTTCAGATTTAAGGATTTTTGTCTTGTCTTGAGCTGCCGACAGGTTCATGTAGCTACTATTTGAACAGAATCCTGAGATGTTTCCTGGTTTTAAGTTTTAAGAAAAGCTCTCTTTAGCATTATTATTTTTTAAAAAAATTTTGGCTTGTTAAAGCTAAAACTGCTTTCCTTGAAATTAAAAAAATATATTTTAAAATGTCTATTTAATGACCACAATAAGCTATAGAGCATCCGATAGGTGTTACTGTATAGTATATTCATTCTACTCAGAATTTCATGCCTTAAGTCAGACATGTCGTCACAGACGAACTTGCTATTGAAAGTAGTTAGATTAATTAAGATAATCAATAAAATGTGTGGAAAAAAAGAATGGAAAGCAACTGTAGACCCCAGAGACAGTGTGGGTGGCAAAGCAAAGATTTAAATTTAAAAAAAAAAAAAGAGAGAGAGAGAGAGACTAGACCAACAGATCTGTTTATTGTAGGTGTATTTTTTCTGCTTACTATGAATGCCACATAGAAATAACAGGTACAATTGCCTGAGAGATGTACTTGCCAAGTGTAGTGATGTGAGTGACTTTAAATCAAGAAGTCCTGTATTAATTCATTAAGGTACAGAAGTCCTGTAAACTTTAATTTTTTGTTCCCGCTATGGATTTTTTTTTTGAGAGGTTTTGCTATAGGGTACGTGCACTTGCCAGAAATACAGAGAGAGATAGAGAGACAGAAAGTGAGAAATCACCCCCCAGGGGGGATGACCATGCCGCAATCCCTTCTCCATTCTCCTTTTGGGATCTTGGGCACTCATGCACATGTGGCCGGCGTGAGTTTAAGCCACGGGGTCTGGGACTCGAACCATAGTCGACTACGTAGGAGTCGACTAGTGACATAGCCATTGCGCCAACTGCTGGTCCCCCTACCATGGATTTTTAACTAGACTAGATCTACAGATCTCCAAATATATCTCAGGGTCAGAATGTCAGGTATCAGACAAAACAGAGGTATTTTAGTGTACAGTGTGAGGGGGAGGGTTGGGAAACTTCTTAATTCTCCTCAATTAAATCAAGTATGCAATCCCCTTCTGTGTCTCTGTGTGCTGACAATTTTGGTTACAGGAAAAAAGACCAGAAGTCTGCTGATACACACAGAGAATGCTTTGAAAATGTATTTTTAAAGGTTTTAAAATGTTTCTGCCATAGGGCACATGTACTCTCTGGAGACAGTTCAGTGATAGAGAAAGTGAGAAATCACTCCCCCCAGGGGAGGGGATGGTGACTCCACAATCCCTTCTCCTCCATTCTCTTTCTGAGATTTTGGGCACACATACACAGGAGCCCAGAGTGATTTTCAGGCTGCCAGGTCTGGGACTTAAACTGTGATTGGCAATATGGGAGTCCAGTGCCTTAACTACTGCACCACCTGCTGGCTCCATGAAACAGAGTTTTAGTTTTTTTTTTAGTTACCTTGAAGCAGCTATGAAATATTTATTGGGAGAAAGAGAAATCTAAACTAAAAAAAAACTTTCTCTTTTCTTTGCAGCAAAGTCAAAATGGATCATTCCTTCAAATATAAGTATCACACATGCAAAGGTTTTTGTTTTTTCCCTTAAAGTAACTCTGAGGCCTGGGGCTGAGAAGATGGCTTCAAACAGCTTCCTGCTTTCTTGGCATCTTTGGCTCCTTATAATTGGGTTTTCTTTGCTGTCTTTGGTAGACACATATGGGTTCAGTAAATGTACACAGTATGAATTGGACATTCATCATGTATTCTGCATTCGCAAGAAGATCACCAACTTGACAGATGCCATTAGTGATATCCCTGGATACACCACTCACCTCAACCTGACACAGAACCAGATTCAGGTTATTCCTCCCTATAGCTTTACTAATTTGACAGCTCTGGTGGACTTACGACTGGAGTGGAATTCCATTTGGAAGATTGGTAAGAGGGCCTTTTGGGGACTTGAAAACTTGACTCTTTTGAATTTAGTAGAAAATAAGATTCAAAGTGTGAACACCTCCTTTCAGGGCCTGTCTAACTTGGAAACCTTGCTCCTGAGCCACAATCAAATTACCCATATTCACAAAAATGCCTTTGTCCCTCTTGTCAGGTTGAAAAGGTTAAGCTTATCTCGAAACTTTATTTCCAATTTTTCTAATGTTCTTGAAGCAGTTCAGCATCTTCCATGTTTGGAACATCTTGATCTCACTAACAATAGCATCATGTCCTTGGACCATAGCCCCACATCATTGGTCTCCCTGACCTATCTGAGTCTGCAGGGGAACAAACTAATGGAGTTAAACTTCTCTGTTTTGTCACTGCCTAATTTGACCACTCTGGATGTCTCTCGGAATAGCCATCAAGCTATCCAGAATGTGTATCTAGAAACTCTGCCTCAACTGAAGAGCTTAAATCTGAGTGGAGTACAGGTGCAGTTGGAGATGCTTTCAGTCAAGCACTTGCAGAATCTAAGGGAAATTGACCTCAGTAATGGGGAGCTTAGAAGTGGTCATTTAAACTTGAGTACAGTGTGTCATCTTCTCAGAAACTTACTCATATTAGAGACTTTGGTTTTTCAGAAAAATGCCACTGATGCAGGGGGAATAAAGCACCTTGCCAACTGCACCAGGCTCTTGTTCCTTGACCTAGGCCAAACTAGTGACCTGGTTGACCTCAATGACAGTGAATTTAATGCTATGCCCAGCCTCCAAAGGCTGCATCTAAACAAGTGCCAACTTTCCTTTGTCAGCAACAGGACCTGGAGTTCCCTCCAGAACTTGACGGCCTTAGATCTGAGCCACAACATGTTTAACAGCTTTCCAGATTTTGCTTTTTCACCTTTGAAGTGCCTACAATCTCTCTCTCTCTCTCGAAACCCCATCACAGAACTCAATAATATGGCCTTCAAGGGGCTGAATTCATTGAAGGAGCTCAATTTGGCTGGGTGCTGGATAGTGGCAATTGACAGAAACTCCTTTGCTCAGTTTCCAAATTTAGAGCGCTTAGATCTTGGTGACAATAATATTCGGACTGTGAAACGCAAAACTTTTCAGTCTCTGAAGAAGCTCCAAGTTTTAATTCTCTCCAAGAACCGCCTGGAAATTATACAGAGCAGTGCATTTTTTGGCCTCACTTACCTACATAATCTTGACCTGGCATACAACAGCCTGCCAGGTGTTTCGGTAGATTTTTCCTTGGGCTTTGAAAATCTGAAAGTTTTGAATCTTGGTTTTAATAAAATTACATATGAAACCACCAAGACCTTGCACTCCCCTCCATTTATGAAACTCAAGTCTTTGAAGCAACTCAACCTGGAAGGACAAACACATGGGATTCAGGTGGTTCCAACCAATTTCTTCAAAGGGCTAAATGGTTTGGAGGAGCTACGCCTAGGAAAAAATCCCATTGTATTCCTGGACCACCTCCAATTTGACCCCCTGATTAATCTCACAAAGTTGGATATCTCAGGAACAAAGGATGGAGACCGAAGTCTCTATTTAAATACTTCTTTATTTAAAAAACTCAAAAGATTGAAAATGCTGCGCCTTGAAAATAACAACTTAGAGTCACTGACTCCAGGCATGTTCTCTGGCTTAGAAAGCCTTCAGGTCTTCTCTTTAAGGTTCAACAACCTAAAAATCATTAATCAAAGTCATCTGGAGAATCTAAAGTCTTTGATGTACTTCGATCTTTATGGGAACAAACTTCAGTGCAACTGTGACAATGTATGGTTCAAGAACTGGTCAACAAACACACCAAATGTTCATATTCCCTACCTACGGAGCTATTCCTGTCAGCAGCCAAATACCCAGAGTTTGTTGGTAGATTTTGATGATACTTTGTGTAATTTTGACCTGGGAAAGGTTTACTTCTTCTTTTCCTTTAGTTTGGTCCTCACAACCATGCTCTTCTCTTGGTTCAGTTCCAAGTTAGCTTCATCTCTACGGTATGGATTCTACATATTTAGAGCATGGTATCTAGCCAAATGGTACAGAACAGAGAAGAAGTTCATCTATGATGCTTTTGTCTCTTTCACTGCTACTGATGAGCAGTGGGTATATAAGGAACTTGTTCCAGCCCTGGAAGAAGGTGGTAAGCCCACTTTTAAGCTCTGTCTTCACCATCGGGACTTTGAGCCAGGTACAGACATCTTTGAGAACATCCAAAATGCCATCAACACCAGCCGTAAAACTTTGTGTGTAGTCAGTAACCACTACCTGCACAGTGAATGGTGTAGGCTTGAAATACAGCTAGCTAGCATTAAGATGTTCTATGATCATGAGGATGTTATTATTTTGATCTTCTTGGAAGAGATCCCAAACTATAAACTATCCAGTTACCACCGACTTAGGAAACTTGTGAATAGGCAGACATTTATCACTTGGCCACAAAATGCCAATGAGAGGCCACTCTTCTGGGCTCGAATTAGAAATGCATTGGGTAATAAAACTGTGGAGAAAGACAATGCACAGCTAATTGTGGCTGAGTGACTGGAAGTCTTATGACCTCAAGTTCAACTGTTTAATATTGCCCAATGGGACCAGCAGTTAGTGTAATGGCTATGTCGCTGGACTCCCATGTAGTACACCGCGGTTCGAGTGCTGGACCTGGTGGCTTAAACTCACGCCGGGTGCGTGTGCGTGCATGCCCAAGATCCCGAGAGGAGAATGGAGGAGAAGGGGAGAAGGGATTGCGGCATGACCAT